CACTTCAAATATTTCCTTAATTGGGTATTGAGCATCTAGCCCAATGGGCTGATTTCCTCCAAATACCCAATAAGATTTGGGCTACAAACGTTTGTGGTGTGGATTCAACATTCTTCAATCCCGAGCTTATAGCCTATGAAGTTAAACGGGCCACGATTTTTCATCATCGCCTAAGGATTATTTGGACATCACAAAAATACCCAACACTGTACTCTTCCTTGACCTGTCAAGATTTTGATCCATTTGCACAATGATTGGTAAACCTTTGATTAGTCTCTGTGGTACACTACAAGCCAACTTGGGTACGAAGTGTACCCACGACTTTAGAGGGATCAGGGTTTTTGAGGGCCAACTTTAGATAAATGAAAGAGAAGTTGTAATCTCATTGTGTTTTGGAAATCTTATGAGCAACATTGAATAGTAGGGGGATGTTGGACATTGTTTTTGAAGTAAGAAGCTATATAAGATAGTCTTTATACCTCATGGACTTCAAAATCACGAGGCGATGCGGCTAGGTTGAGTGGGCTATGGTTCGCATCGAGTTAGCCTATGCTGAGGACGTTCTAACATTGTTGTTAGGGGTTTGGTCCTGACCGTAGATATGTGTGGATCAGCACAAAGGAAAGAGACTATGAGCCATGAGCATTGTTAGGGCAGAGGTTCCCTTTTATTAAGAAGGGCTGCCTGACTGCCATGCTTTTGGTTGTTGCCTTTCATTATAATCTCATACAAGTTCAATGTCAAACTTTAATTTAGCCTCATATTGCATAGGACTTACAACTATTATTTACTTATTCATCATTTATTTCTATCATATTATAATTTCAACAATTTATATGAAGCTCAAAAAAGTACGAATGTTATCAGCCTAGTTTTAGGAATAGTCCTTCCTTTTGTTATACCCAAAAGAGGTACGCTACAATTCAGAGGACACGTGGTGCAAGACACGTACATGTGTCATCCACCTCGAAGAACTAGATGGGGCGAAGCGAGAAGTTTGACCTTGCAAACTGAGCTTATGTTTGGTCTTCATTTTTCCAAAAAATTATTTTCAATCATAAATTCTTTTATAAAATAATTTTATATAAAAATCGAAAACTTCTTATTTTTCAACCACAAATTATCTAAAAAATTACTATTCCAAAATATATTTTCCATTAAAATAGAGCTCAAAAGGGGCAAAATATAAAAGCAAAACAATCTCAATAAGTATTTTTTGGTTAAAAAAACACTTCAAACTAGAAGAGAGGCATAACCTTGAAAAATATAGAATATGAGAATTAATGATTGCATTGAGGGCGTCTCGTCCCCCCAACATGCGTTACTGCCACCCTCACAATCTTGTTACACAAATAGGGGCATTTGATATGATTTAAAAACGGGGGACACATGTCAAACATTTATGGAACAATTTTTTTTAAAAAGCCACAAAAGTGCTTACACGTGGCATCTGTCACCCAATCCTGTCAACTGCCAATGTT